TTCCAAACGCGCAGCATGCTCCAATAAGACAGACGTAGAATCGAAGGAATCGGCGTTCACTGATTCTACAACATGAAGTTTGGAGTTTTAAAGGAAGAATAAAAACGAAATTTAAGCAGCCATATTAGGAAACATAGCAATTGAATGTTGTATTTTATCTTTTGAAATAATCAAACGCACAAAGATGCGCGTCAAATCAAATACGTTTCCTATTAACATTATCCACAGGTAGGCATCTTGATTGAAGTTTTCGTTCAGCATTTTTGTTCAAGCACGATAACACAAGTGTTCTGACTCATAATTCACAAATTTAGCCTTCAGTCAGATTGCAGGGATTGAGGTTAGCAAAAGGTTTGCAATAATCTTCTACGTACTCAAGCAACTTAATAAATCTTCTTAAGTTGATTCAGCTTACATGCCTTAATTAAGGCAACCTCAATTTATTATGAGTCACAGGGATGTTTAAAGGTATTTTCTCATACTGTCCATTGTGGTTCACAGGTTTCAGTGTTCAGTCTCACCCATAATATATGCAGCCTGTTTTTGTGTGACTGATTTAAGTCACTCTCTTATGGCGAACTATGTTGCCTTAATGGATATGCCGCGAAGTTGATTTCAGAATCTGCAAAGAATCCATCAAAGTCTTTTACAAATTTCCGATCTTCATACTCGGATGAATTGGTGTGCTGTGTTTCAAACCAATCCAAATGTTAGTTATTTCCAAAAGAATATGAAATTCATTGTGCTTTTGGATGACGCTCTACATCTTTAGTGCTTGACGTAGGATCTAATGCTCTTTGTTTTCTTTATAAATAACTTTCACACGGTAACGTTCTTATATTTCAATATCCTTGTTTGAATAACAAAAGCATCTGAGGAGATGCTTATCAATCAGAAGAAATAGTTAGACGATCTCATTGTATATTGTTGCCCAAGTATTGTACATGTTCAAGATCACAGTGCAACTGTTCCCCATCATGACCTTGTAATTATTTAGCAATAGGTTTTTGATAAATAATTCCACTGTGACTTGTTGCATCATTGTGAACTTCATTTCAACAATTAAGACCTCCTTATTATGAACTTCAAAACGTTGCTAATGGTTGTATGGTTGTAAAGGTGAGTTGCAAAATGGTTTGTGTTTACTATAGTAATCGTTCTCCACTAACTGTATCAGAAATAGCTTCTGATATGTTGGTTATCGTTCATTAAATTTATAGTCATTTGAAATACAAATACTGATAAATAATGCCCCCCCCCCTCAATAAGTTAGTGAATTTTATGGAAGAACCAAGCAATACATCTGTCTAATTCCCATCGCTTCACCCCATATCTGCATATCTGAATTTGCTAATACTAGAAGAAAGCCAAAGAGATGTATACAAAGTAATAAAAAGATTTTTAAAAAAGCTATCACGTAGACAGAATACCTTTTCAAGTGAAAAACAACAGTCAGTGTAATGATGAGAAGTATAACAGTTGCCCTAATATTTGAAGTGGTGATTGATTCTGGGTCACGTACTTTGGCTCGTCTATCACGAATTGAGTTACCAAGCTGAGCGAGGTCTGTAGATCTACATTTTCTTACATGCCTTAGACCTACATTCAAAGACTTAATTGCTGGCAACACGTTTTAATCTTGACATAGCAAGCGATACTTTACAATAGCTCCAGTTTTGAAGAGCTTGAAACTGAAAGCCATAACTTGTCTAATTTGAGTAGCACCACAGATTTCAATTCTGTTTCTGATTTCTTTATATTTCATACAGCTTCAATGTCAAATTGAAAAGTTAAAATTAAAAACTTGTTAGATTTCTCAGTCACTAATATCATTATTTATTTGCATTGTACATAAAATGATATCTTACTAAGGTTATTGGAAAGGTTTGATAAGATAGTTTACCAGACAAGGTTTCTCGAAGCGTATTTGTATGTTAAGATGCCATTCTAGCTTCTGCCGTATTGACAATCCTACTTAGATATTCTGATAACCCTCCTTTACATGATAAGACTATGAAAGTTTTAAAATCCTTCCTCAACGTTTCATAATTAACACTGTTTATGTCTATTGATGCATTATTCGTAGCCTAGTTCTTGTTATCTCTCATGTTTTTTTGGGTGCACTCACCAGATAGTTGTAAGAGATGATTTTTTTCGGCTAAAAAGGTCTCATTGAACCTTTCAAACAAAACAATCTCTTTCTACTAGGTTTAACCTAGTTGCTGTGAGGGTGTATACATAGATCACATCAGCCAACCTAGGCCAAACGCATTAGCAGAACACAAAATCTTAGCTAACTATATAATAGGGGATTCCAGTAAGACGAGAATCTTAGGACAAAAGTCAACCATAGCCGTGCATGGTGTCACATAAAACCAAGCAAAAATTTGAAGAGAGTGGTAGTTTTTAAAAATAAATTTAGAATGTGAAGAAGTTGATACCTGAAGCTTTGTTCATTCAATAGGAACCTGAAAATGTAATCGGACCGATTTATATTTCGGAGATACGGTAAGTTTCAACTGTGACCGAATCAGAATGAAGCAAGATATATCTATGCAAACTAGACCAACAAGTTGTGCAATTACCTTGATATGATTTTAAGCAATAAATTCTGCTAAAAGTGATGTTTCACTTAGTGATATACGTAAGAGAGGACTATAGCTGGTCTATTTCTAATGTTTTTGACGACCGTTATATTGATATTAATCTAGTGTTATTCAAACCAACCAGTTTCCGTATAGAAAGTGTCAAGTTCATCAAAGAACCATGAGTTTATTCGCCGGTCCGCTTATACTGATCATAATTTACGCGGAAAATTGTTTAGAAAAAGATTACCTACTTCCACTTAGGAGATCTGAAGTTGTCTGGATACAATGTTTTTCTTCAACTTTACCATATGGCTTTAATTTAAAAGTCAGTTTCTAACACATGATGAAAAGCTTTCCTTATTTTCAGAAGACCATTTTTAAGTTACCAACACCAAAACTGATTGTTTTCAATAATGGTTCCTAACTGATCTGTTCGTTTTAAGCATACCTTCTCTTCTACGTAAAGCCACAGAATATGATATAAATTGTATTGTACCAGTCCTGAGATATCTTTATACCATCCTTTTAATGTAAACTAACCGATAGTATAGGTCTAAAGAAAGTAGTCTAACTCTCAGGAAATCTTCCTGTTAAATTGTCTATTGAAAATATTATGAAGTTAGAATTTCCATTTCTATTTCTTCTAGTTTCTTTCGATGTTTGCTGGTTACTCAATGGTTTTCTGCACAGATTTTCGAAACTTACTAATGAATATGCCTTTGCCTAAGATGCCTAAAATGGTCGTGCATGAGTGGGATTCTGAGTCTTCTGATCACCAAATTTTATTTTGAGAATGTGTGAGTCTTCCCAACTTGATAACTGATGGTCATACGGTGAAATGCTTAAGATGTAGACATGCTTGAACACCTCAACTTATTCACTTTATAAAACTGTTCCCCTATTTTGAATGATTAACATGATAATATGGTGTGTAATGATACATATTCGGGAATCAATGGCTTAACATATCGGCCTTTTGATTTTTCAAGAAAGTAAAACTTGAAACAACACTGAAAGTTTTAACGTCATGAATGTTTCGATGTAAAGGCAGTGTAAAATTTGACGGACCTATTTTGTAGTTGTTCAGACGCATTTCCTTACTAATATATTTAAATATTTAAGCGTCTGAAACGTCACTGTTCAAGTTTCGTCAGAACTTATCACCAGAAATATGTTTCTAGGCATGTTTTTATTCTAAGAAACCACAATTTTTTCTTTAATAAGGCAAATTTTCACGGTAGATGGTTGTTTAGTCAATATTTAGTGATTTGACTATTATCCCAAACGTAATTGTGCAGTAAAAAGATTTATGATAAAAATAGTGATTGTGAAATTATATACACGTGTAGTACTTAGCTCTTCTACATTATTCTATTGTTATTTCGAAGACTACTGATCTCATTCACAAACTTGTTTGAACTGAAAGCCACAGAATTATGTTATCGGTGCTGTAATTTACTGACTGAAGCCAGTCAGTGAACACCAGAATAAAACTTGCCATTTATGTAAAATCGTCCAGTTTCTCACACTTCACACCAACGTATCATGATGTAAGGCAGCAAGAAGAAAGACAGGGAAACAAAGAAAATGAAATATAGTCAGAGATTGCAGGAAGTGGTAAAGAGATAGGAGTAGAAAGTGAAACAACAAAAAATGCGACAAGCAGAAAATAAATTCAATTTGGAGGTTTGTGGGGATATATTTGCTGATTTCAGGTTGGTATTCATCATGGACTGACATCAGTTGTAGAAAAATTAGGAGACTTGAAGCGATAGACAGCCGTTACGTCCCATCATAAGACTCACCAGCAGTCACCGCCTATGACCCCACCGGGGGTCGAACCCAGGACTAGCCGTCACGGACTTAAGGACAGTTGCTTAACGACAGCACTGGGTGAAAGTCACGCTATATTGTGAACTGACAAGGACAGGAGTTGCGGGCCACTAGATTCCGACCTAGTGACTCAACGGTAACGCGCTGGTCATGGAACCTGTTGGTTCAGGGTATCGGTCCCCGGAGAGGTCATGGGTGCACTCTGCCGAGGATTCCCGTACTATGGTGAAAAAGTTGCTTATTGCTCCCAAGCTTTCAATGTTCCTCCAACTGATGTCAATTCATGATGAATGCCAATCTGAAATCAAAATGCCTTGTGGTGATAAGGATGAATAAAATATGCACCTGAATATGTGGTAATGAAGTTGATTGTGAACTATATCACCACCACCACCCCCAAGTTCTTTTGTTCAACGTTGAGGTTTTAGTTAATGTTTGTTGATCAGTTATGCTTAAATTCAGTCCATCAATTTAGTCTTTTTCAACTCATTTGACTAATTATACCTCTATTTTACATTGTAGATTCTTCAATCAATCGGCTTAATTGTTCTCATTCATCTTAGCATTTGACTGTGTTCAATGGTACACTCAAACAAAAATTGTTTGGAATATCATAAATGCTTAGAACCTGGAAAGTCAAATTCAAGATACTCACCTTCAGATTGGTCTGATGGTGAAGAAATGCATTTAGATTTGTGTAAACAACGAAGAGAACAATATTGTCTATACTTTACACATAAAATATTGGCATATTTAGAGATTTTAACTATGATTATAACATTTTTCAGTCCATTTCTTATGATTATTTTACCAAATATTTATTCATTTTTATGGTTTACATCAATACAAACAACTAAGCAGCCATCAACACCACCACCATCATCATCGACAAATAAAGTTGTGGAAAAACGAAGTAAAATCAATTCAAATCATATTTCTCGTCAGTTGAATAATAACAATAGTGAAGTATATTATGAAGTGAAAATCATTGAAATCTGTATAAAACTTTTAATATTCTCTTTGTGTTCAAGTCATATTTATTTATCACGTTTTAAAAAGATGTCATTTTGCTTACAGAATAAAAATAATTTCATTTCTTATTCCCAACTTGTTGGATATAAACGATATAAAAAATCAGATATATCGAAGTCAATGCCTTCTTCATTCCAATTATATTGGTTACAAAGTAAAATAAAACAAAGTTTACCATTTAATTTCTTTATGGATTCATTAACTGTTATTGTCACCTTTTCATTTTGGTTAGTATTTTTATCCTATTGGAATTCAGTCAACTATATGACAATGGCTACTACAACCACTACCACTACTACTAATACTGAGAGTGATCATAAATCAAAATCATGCAGTGATCTACAGTATGCAATAAATCCCTTGAATCCATTTCGTCGTTTTGATAGTATTCAACAAAATATATGCGATAATACAAAAACCCTTTACACTGAACAACAATTGATTCAACTAAAAATAATCGCTTTGAATTTATCAACAAATTTTGTCAGTACGCATCTATTTCTACAGCTAACTGGTACATTTCTTATAAATTTCAAAGCGATATCTGATTGGATATCGTGTAAATATGTTGTACATGTAGTACGTGCGTTAGATGGCGTTTCGCATAAATATAAAATTGGTTCGGATAATTTAAAGTCTATTGCTGTCTATATTATACAGAATACGCTGGTTGATTTTCAGGTCAGTTGATTTTTTCGTGTGACATATATATATTACTATAGGAGATAAATATCTAGCGTATATATATATATATATATATATATATATAAGCCCTAATCAAAACTAAGTAGTTATTAGCCTCTCCTTATAGATCCAGTTGCATTCGACTACATCTTATCATAATAGCTAATGTTCCTATTATACTTATATTCAACACTTGTCAATGCATGATAACATTAGTAAATTTACAAGCTGCAGAACTTGAGAAGTAAGTTATTGAAAACAATTGTTCGCTGACGTATTTCTCGTTTTGACAGTTCGATAAGAATCTTTTGATTTCTAATGTTTTAAGTAGACATATTCTTTGTAATGGAGCTTGTTTCTTAAACCACTAATAATCAGATTAAAATGCAGGAAGATAAATAAGCACTTTTATGTTCTTAATTTGATTCATGTTTTTCCTGTGTTAATTAGCTATAATCCACCCAAGGTCAGACAGAAGAAGTTAAAGTCTGTCAAGAAATAAGCGAAAATGCCCTAATTGTCAGAAGAAATTGTATGGCTGTATGTGTTCTGCACTGATAACGACATCTATATGTGTTACCATTCTTCACTAAGACTAAAATTGTCAGGCACTACATTTAAATGGGATGGTGAGTGGCAATAAAAATCATCTTCCAGCTCCATCTCACCATAACATACATGACTCTAACAACTAGATTTCATAGTAGAATAAAAAGGAGATTCATTACTCTGTATTTTGTGGTTTTTTCTTGAAATTCATTTACGATGACTTTTTTCAAATTGGCAGTGAAAACTTGCTTCATAAAACCAGTATTCTGAAGGAATATTTATCCAGAACCAATGACAGTAGACTTGCATACAGGAAAATAGGATAATGAACCAAAGAAAAACTTTCAAAATTAACTAATCGTCATAAGATAGAAGAAATCTACAATATCAAAAGCTTTTGGGTGCTTCAAATGAGCCACAAAAGTGTGCCTAGCGTTACTAAACAACTTATGCTTTTTGTGACGACATTTATTCTAGAAAATAACGACTAAGAAATAAGTTGTCATTGAGCATTCCCAAACTAAATGGAAAACTTTTAAAACTCGAATACAGTTTTTTTGTTATAAACCTCGACATCTCATCTGAACTTATGCATTTTATTTTCATAATTCAAATGTTCCACGTCATGTATCATTATAATAGTAAATATTGCACCCTATCGTTGAACGTTATTCTCCTTTCATGCGTGAAATAGACCACTCAGCATAAAAAAGAAGAAAAAGTATTTCAGTGAAGAGTGTCTTTTCTGCGATTTCATTTTCAAAGCTGTACAATCGCAAATTTATACATTTTTCTAGTGTAAGGATTTGATAGTTAAAAACTGTTTGTCAAGCATAGCAACATAAATAGTGTCGAAAAATGAGATTTCATTAGATTCAAAACACCAAAAGCCGATGAGTAGTGAATAGTAATCAAAATAAGTTTAGACAGAAGTTTCGTAACATGACGACATAATTGAAAGACTGAATTGTGATCAGGCTGAGCATAGCAACAAGAATGATTAGCAAATTACTTAAGAAGTGAATAGTGTCAAAACAGAAAACTGAAAAGAAAAAAGGTGGGAGACGGGACTGAAAACTAAAACCATGAAAGGAGAAGGGGTTGAACAATTATCTTTTGCGTACACAGTTCAGGTTTCTCCATACGGATGGCAAGAGCTTCGGCAATGCAGTGAATACGAAGACACATAACCCTTGGAAGGTTTCTTTTTACTTCATAGATAACTTTGAAAGAAAAGCTTCTTGAGATAACATGATTCATGTTCACGATGTGTTCAATTATAGCGCTCCTTATCTCTCCATTGTTACCTCGTTGTAACCACGTGGGATAGTGCTCTTAAACCCTTTTGGATAACAGTCGCATCGAACGACCTATATACATGTCTGCACGAGAGCAGGTGAATTGATATATGCACACGGAAGTCGTCAGATGTGGAAGTTTCTCCTTTGAGTTGTTAAATATCATTGGGCAACAAGAGAATACTAGTCTCAGCGTTGATGCCAAGAATGTTCCCCTTAGAGAGTTTAATATTCTTTTTTTTAAAGTCTAAGCGACAGAACCACACTTGAAGTTTAGATTCATATAAAGTGACTTTTTTGTTACGGTGTTAAGGTTCTCCTTGTGGGGTTTAGGCTTGATGTTTTTGTCTGTGAAGCGTGATGGGAATCCGTTTACAATCACGATGTTGCTTAGGACAGAAATTTCCTCATGTGACACATTGGGACTACAAATTCGTCTAATGCGAGTAGCAAGAGACGTGATCAGGTTTTGCTTACGACTTATAAGGACCAAACTATTAAAGTTCGTCAGTTGACCATTCCACATTGCTTTTCTGTGAACTGATTCACTTAACGTTCTACCAGTTGTTCTTGTGAGTTCCACATCAAGAAAGTTAATTTTCTAACAATTTTCGACCTCAAAGGTAAATCTAATTGCTGAGTGGCAGTTGTCGAATATTAGTAGATCATAAATCATATTGGTGGTCAAAGATAATAAAGGTGTCGTCCATGTACCTTTTGCACAGTTGGAAAACTTTATTTGATGATTCCAAGGATTCGTTCTCCAAACTAGCCATATCGTAGTCTGCTAGTAGTGAATCTAGTGGGGATCCCATGGTGATCCCATCTTTCTGTCTGTAAATCACGTCGTTAAATATGAACTGGACGTTGAATGTGCATCGAAATACCATTTCTTTAAGGCGAAAGGTCAGTATCCCAGCATTTACGTTGCCATCTTCTATGTATCTGCATAAGAATGAGACAGTTTCGGTAACTGGGACATTGGTGAAAGTGACTCAATATCAAGTGGTATCATACATTTGTTAGATACGTCTTCGTCTGTTGTGCAGTCAATCAATTCAAAAGTATCACGTAGAGAACGGATGGCGATTCGTCTTCTTAAGGGCTCTAGGATTTCAGCTAGCCACTTCATGATTGGATGGTAAGGGAATCCAGACATGTCTAGAACCGGACAAAGGGATAGACCGGCCTTGTGAATCCGTGTAGTTCGTAAGGTCGTGAAATCGTGCAGCCTGTTGGTTTGATGCGTTCGTAGATATCATTTGATATTAGCCGATTATTTTTTTAGCCTTTTCAAAACATCAAGTTGTGGTTCAATCAGTTCCGTCTTACTTTTCTCGTTAGCAGATTTATGTAATTTGTTTCCATCCGAGAGTAGATCCACCAGTTTACCAATATAAACGTCTATGTCTAGTATGACCACACCCGCATCCTTGTCCGGACGTGTTATTATCAAATCTTTGTTGCATCTCAATTGTTTCAGTCGTTCTCTGCTCTCTTTTGTTAAGGAATTGTGACCGTTTGATTTTGTGCTGAAGTATTGATAGCAGCAGTCTGTATTGGTCGATTTGAAATGTTGAAACTCTTGGTTGAAAGTCGGGAGAAGATCGCTAGTTTTGTTAATTAAGTTTTAAAACTGTATGTATGTGTGAAGTTTATTGATATATTGGTTACTATTACAAACTTTCGACCCAAACGGCAAGTCCTCCAACTATAATTTGGATAGTGATACTGAAGAATGATTGAATACAAATCTTTTGAGATCATCGGGAAATTTACACTGGATTTGAACAAATTTAAGACTTTTTAGTAAGCTTAACCGTACTAATTGTGTTCGCTTATTGGTAATTCTGGTGACATATTCAGTGAAAAATTTGTGTGTATTTGGTGACAATTCGAGGAGCAAGGAGAATCGTTGTGAGATGTTTCGTTCTAACTGTGGGATGCATGAGACGATGGAGTCAATATGGTTCATTATGTGACGTTTAAGAGACTTAGAATTTGGATTAGTATGATTTCTACTTAGAGCTTTTCAAGACCATTTTGGATACTCAGGGTTCTTTATACAGTAGTCGTTAAGAAAACTAATCCTCGCATTAACTTGTCTTCTTTGGCAGTTGCATCAATTGATCTGCATAACATAGTTTGAAGGAAATTTATTGGTTTATGAGCCGCACCAATTCCAATTCCACCATACAACTTTCAGTACTAGTCTTTCATAGTTCTATCACCTTTTATTCATTCTTTTTAGAGGCAATAGAGTTTTTGATGCATGTCGATACGGATTTGATTATTCTTATTACATGTATTTTGTGTTGAGTGATGCATGACGATTTCGATTTCGCTCATTTTCGACTTCACTTCATTGCCTTTGGGTCAACCTGCCTAACCGTAAATTCAATGATTTTTGACTTTACAAGAAAAGTTATTGTAAATGGAAACTGATGATTATTCTATTGAATGGTATAATGTTTAACTTAGTGATAATCTTTTGACTGCTCACTGAAATCATACAATGCTGCGTATTTCACTGAAAATTCTTCTACTGCCATATAAACAGAATAACTATGATTTAATGCAATTATCAGTTTATTCTGTGGTAAAATGTTTATTTCCAAACTAAGTCTCATCAGTCTATGCACATATTCTATTGCACAATTTATAAAATTTGCAGTTGTAAAGGGATTTTTATCGTAGTTCTGTTGTTTTCGGCATCATTTGATCCCATATCATTTTAGGTTAGAATAATGTTTAAAGATTATCTCTAAGGGAAATCACCATTTACAGGCAATAAAGTATCCCGATTAAAATGAAGAATGAAATCTGAGTTGCTTTTATTTCGTCTATTCACTTCATTGCGCTTCAACATTACCTTTTAATATGAGTTTACAGGCTATAAACAATATTGAGTTGGACAGAAGTCTCCAAGTTACAGCTATGTAATCAAATAAGTGTTATTTAAACGCATTATTTCTTTTGTCATTTTGTAAATATGCCTGAATTTTACTTAACAGGACAAGCCAGCCTTTCAGAGTTGCAGTAGTCCGCATCTTACAAGCCACAGTAAATTAACAACTGAATCCTGTAACCTATTGAAGCTTCATTAAAGTATATTGACAAAAAAGACACATGTAGTTGTTCTTTCCATTG